TACCGAATACTTTTTCCCAGTCAGTGGCTTCCCTTTTTACCCTGTTGGAGAAGTTTTTGGATGTGCATAGGGATTTGAGTCTTAGAAGATCCCATTCATCTATGTTATCTTCTCCTGGTTGTAGGTTTTCCAGGATACTGGGAAGACTGTTTATGTTGTGGATTAGGACTTCTAGTGTTGTTCCTAGCTTTTCTGTAATGAAGTTTATAGTCCTTGGTTTTAGTCCTAGGTCCATGATCCACCTTGAGTTGGTTTTTGTGTATGGAGTGAGGTGTGGGTCTTGCTTGAGTCTTTTGCAGATATTTTTCCAATTTTGCCAACACCATTTGTTAAGAAATGGGCACAGGATATGAACAGGCACTTCACCGAAGACGACATTCAGATGGCTAACAAGCACATGAAGAAATGCTCAAAATCCCTAGCCCTAAGAGAGATGCAAATTAAAACAACTATGAGATATCATCTCACCCCAGTCAAAATAGCAAAATTTAACAGAACAGCAAGCAATAAATGCTGGCGAGGTTGTGGAGAAACTGGAACCCTGATTCACTGTTGGTGGGAGTGTAAAATGGTGCAACCCCTGTGGAAAGCAGTATGGCGCTTTCTCAAAAAGTTACAAATAGAGATACCATTTGACCCAGCAATTCCACTACTGGGAATATACCCTGAAGAGACCATAGCTGACATCCAAGCAGATATATGCACACCCATGTTTATTGCAGCTTTGTTCACAATAGCAAGGAGTTGGAAACAACCTAAGTGCCCATCAACAAACGAATGGCTAGAGAAGCTGTGGTATATTCGCACAATGGAATACTATGCTGCATTAAAAAATAAGGAACTCATGCAATATTATTCAAAATGGTTGACTCTGGAGAACATTATGCTGAGTGAAATATCCCAGTCACAAAAGGACAAATATTACATGATGCCACTGTTGTAGAATGGGACTGTCCTTGGGGTTGGGGAGAGACTGAGTAAGATGGGTTCAATAATGTATACTGCACTGAAACAGAGGAGGGAGAAAACTGTTTAAAAGAGATATATGACTAGGTACTTCTGTCATCACAGGAGTCTAGAGCGAGGGCTACATGGTGGAGGGGACCTGGGGGAGGGTTTATAAAACAATGAAAGAATCCTTTCTTTTAATTTTCCATAATTTTTGACTCATGTACTTATAAATTGTTAGTCAAATTTGTGTCTTCTAGGTTGCAACACCCCCATGATACATCTTTAAGGATATGAACATGTACGGCCAAGCACAATCAATAAGAGTGCATCTAAATTGCGAAATCAATCTCCATAATAGTCTATGTGTTTCCTACTGCCAAAGGGGCCCTTTAGAGTAGTGAGAGAAGGTCTTCACCCTGAAACCCACAGCGTCCCTTTTCAGCAGGAAGTAGCTAAGAGAATATGCCATCCCCTTTTCCTTATGACTCAGGGTGAAGTCTCTCTCAGGGAGGAGTGATAGGGAATGGCAAAGGACACACCGACAAAGGAGATTAATCAGAACTGACTTTGACAAGCACTGTGGCAATTGGACAATTAAAACAGACATTCGGATGGCGGGGAAGAAGAACAAACTGGGGAGGAGGGTGGAGAGAATGGTGCGGCAATGAAGGAGTGAAAGCCCAGAATCCCTGTGAATGTTCATTGAAACTAATAAAAGTTAATAATAATAATTAAAAGAAAAGAGAATTAACTGAGATGAAATGTATAAAGTTCTAAGAAAAAAAGTTATGGCACATTATATGTGTTGCATAACTCTTAGCATTTACTTAGACTAAGTAAAAGATGGGGGGAAAGCAGAAAATAAAATTCTATCTCTAATCTTCAAATTTACTTCTTCATGAAAGTATATAGATAGGGATGAGGGGAGGGAATAAAAACTAGATACGACTATACTACAATACCAGAAGTAATGCATATGTTAAGTATAGATTTGAATTTGAGCTTTTATTTTGTTTCCTGATTTCTTATATGTACTGTATGATCAGAGCAAAAACAAATGAATAATCTCTACTAAAGGAAACAAATGGCTCTGAAGACAGCGCGGCTTGTTCATGAGCTGGTTTTGAGTGCCTTTGTACTAAAAGTTCTCACATTCACAGTCTCCCTAACCCAAGACTTCCAGTGGGGTTATGGAGTAGCAGCGTGGGCACCCTTACCAAATACCCTCCCGCCCTTCCCCTGCTTGTGAGAGGAGACACAAAGAGATCATTGTTCACAACTGGGAGCTTTGGGATCCTCAAAGACATTTTCATTTAAAATAAACTTGAATTGCTTTTAAAAGTGATTAAAGGAGATGTGTAGACCCTAGAGAAACTTGTCCAGTGGTCTGTGCAACTTCTTCATTTAGCACAGGTGCAGCCACCTCGTTGACATCAGAGAAAGCAGGGTATGTGGCTCAGGGCAGCCCTTCTCGGAGGCATACTGTGCACACACATTCTAGGTGGGTGGAGGTAAATGAGAAAGGAACACTTCCCAGAGAAAGTGCACAGGAGAACCTGCTTCACATGGTGGTGACTGATGATTCTCTCCCCCCCCCTTTTTTTATTATGCTGTTTGGGCATCAGCCATATGAGATCATAGAAATGAGAGATGGAAAAGACCTACTGTATTAGGTCATCCAGTCCGTCCCCCTCTTCAGAGCCAGATTGATCCCCACAGTATATTTTCCAGGACTCTGTCCAGTTTTTTAAGTGACTCAACTGATGGAGTTTCCACCAGTTCCCAGAGGGTGCAAAAAGGTTGTTGTCTGAGTCTGCTAACTTGAATCAAGAACTTACTCTTAAAAAAAAAACAAAAAAACAACTTACTCTTATGCCTAATGGCAGAGATAATAGTAATAATGTCGTATCTGGGATGAAGTATTGCTTCTGCCACTTGTGTGCTGTACGACCTTAAATGGCTTCAGCTCTCAGTCCCTGTGTCCCCTCCTGCAAAATGAGGGTGGGGAGCAGAGCTCGGTGGCCCAAGGCTCCTTTAGCTTAAACATTCTGAGACTTGGCTGCTAGGACCCTTACATAGTGCTTTATAGTTTTCACAGCTTGTTCACATTTGTGATCTCATTTGAGCCTCACCAGTACTTTGGAAGAAGGCAGATCTTCTTGTCCTCCTAATACATCCTGACCATCTCTCCATCTTGATTTGGTTCCTTGTTAATCTGATGGAGAAGTTCAGGCATAAATGGTGCTCTTCCCAACGCCTACTAGTCAGACTGAAAGTGGGACATACCTACACATTTTCCATTTTCTTTGCTGCTTGGTTAGTGCAGGTAGAAAGCAGTTTGCTTTCAGTTAGGGTGGAGCTACTGCCTTTTCTAGCAAAAGCACTGCTCAGGGTTGTCACAGCCCCCTGAGTCACACACACCTGTGAAGTACAGAGCTCCCTGTCACATGCTTTCCCTTCACATCGTCAGGAGAGCCTGAGTGGGGACTGCTTCTCTGTGTGAGTGTGAAGCAGTAATAGCCAATTAGAGGTAGGGTTGCTCTGACATACTTCTGTTTACCACTGCAGTTCATTACCTGATATTTAGGTGCTTTGAATGTATGTTCAGATGTATTGATCCATTGTGGTTATTAAACTTGAGTATTGAGGATTCCTCTATATTGATTCAGATTCTGCACTTTCTTTTTCGTGATCTAACCCGTGATCTCTAACTTTCCCTAGAGAGTATTAACATTTACTGCAAATGTTTGGTCATTAAGACTTCTTTTTAAGCGTATCCTTTTTGTTATCAGCTTGAGTATATTAAATTTTAAAACCTGGGCTCACTAAGTTTGTAGTTGAAGTAACCTTTAACGATATGATTAGTCTCAATAGAATTGTAATAAAATGGTTGCTCTTGTTAGTGTGTGAAAATACATGAAGTATGACATGAGTCATAGAAAAGAGGGGGGCCTGGGGAGCTGAAACTGAGGCGGAGGGGTTCCTTAGTCCACCACGCTTGAGTGGCCCTCCCACCCCCTGCAAGATGCTGCTGTCTCTCCAGGGCCTAGTATAAGATCATGTGTAGCTCAGGGCTCAGTGGCTTCCACACTCCGCCAGGCCCTCTGCAGTCTGACATGTCCACAACCCCACCAGTTCTTGGACGTCTCTGTAGTGCTTTCTGCACTCCCACCCAGGCTGTGAGAGCAGATCCTGGGTGTGGCGTGACCTGAAACCCCCTGTCACCTTTTCCAGGCGTGGGTTCCAGAAGACTGTGTGATCTTGCAGCCCTGTGATGGGTGTGTGTGGTGTGAAGAACTCCATCAGTTTGGATTGTGTTTTGTTTTGCTTTTTTAATTTGTGTGTAAAATATTTCAAACATATAAACAGGAAAAGGCTTTCCTTTTCTTTGGAAATCTTTTCTCCAGTTTCACTGTGTAGTTGGGTGCCTGGTTGCAAACAGAAGATTGGTTAAGAGTAGGAACTCAAGCCCAAGTTGTGAAGGTTTGATCTTGTGCTTTTTTGCTTTGCTTTCTATATCCAGCTGCCACACTGAGTCAGCGCAGGGACCCACCGTGATAGGATAAAGCAGTGCCCACCAGCAGTGTCATTAGCTAGGATGCTGGTGGCCGGTGAGTGGCACATTTAAGACTGAAGGACCTTTCCCTGCCTCTGAACACAGACAGAGGCCAGGCGGGGACACAGGCAGCCTTTCAGAACAGGCTTCCATCTCCCATGGAAAGCACAGCCTGATCCACAGATGTGGAGACAGATGCTGAGTATTTTGCTCTGGGCCAGACGCTTGAGACCCAGTCCCAGGTTAGTGACCTCCAGGAACCTTGAATACACCATCACGAGAACTCTTTCCCCCGAGTCAAGGTTTTCACTGTCCCCTTTCAGTTAATAGGAACATTATTTAAGTTATTAAGTGGAATTTCTAAAATATTATAGAAATGGTAGGAAGAAATATCTTTCAATATTATTGAAAGCTATTTGGGGTGTTGTTTTTTTCCCCTAAAAAGCACTATCTTTTCTAAAAAAGCACTATGTCATTTATGCTTCTCTTGCAGATCCTCGGGAAGCTAAAGAGTCTCGCCTTGGACACAGAGATGGAGCTGGAGAGACAGGATGAGGCTCTGGATAACATCACCTCGTCTGTGGACCGCGCAGCCCTAACTATTGACAAGCACAACCGACGGATGAAAAAACTGACATAGGAGAAGGGAATGTGCATGGGACTGTGAAGACAGTCCCTTCTTGAGTATATTGTTCTCAACCCCTGCATGTTTCCTCTGAGAGGAAGGGCCTGGGAAGCAATTTCAAAGGACAGGAGAAGTGTTGGTGGAAGAGTTGCTGATCTGATCTGATTCAATTTTGAAGAATTATAGGGGTAATGGAGATGGAGGTGATTGTGGCTTCCACTGAAGGGGTTTCTATACAGTGAATTGGAGGCACACCTCAGAAGGCAGAGGTTTTTTTCTCCACACCCAGGGAAGATGGGGCAATGCTGACGTCCCTGCACAACATGCCTGCTGAATGGGCGCCTCCACCTCTGAAGTCAGGGTGCCCTTGGTTTGCTGTCAGGGTCAGGCCCCACACGCCTTTCACGGCAGGAGCCTGCACCAGGGCTGTCCACTGGGCCAGATGGTCACCTGCTCGGCAACTGCTGGTGCCTGACTGCTCCCTCATTACCAACCCAGGCCCAGGCTGCACCTTCATCTGTCGTCACTTTTGCTAAGCATGACATTTCTGGTAGAAATTAGCTGCTAATTTATGACTTTTTACCCATCTTGCTGCTGTAAGCCTGTTCTATGTCATAGTATCTTCTTAGGGCCTGTGGCGTGCTTACCACGCCCTCATGTTCACTGCAGGCTTGCAGGAGACAGGCCCTTCCCTGAAAATTTTCTTTGGAATAATACCTCTTTGGTGGATAGGCCAGTTTTCTTTCTAAGATTTTGATTTTTACACCTGAAGTTTAGAGTCTGTTAGGTTATCCTATAAGCCCCTGGAGTAGGTTTTTGCTTGCCAGTTTTTAGGAATCCATGTTGACTTAGTCAGTAGCAAGTCAAACTACTATCCCAGAGGCTGTGCATTTCTGGAAGTTCAAGTCCACCGGTGGCTCCACAGGAGACAGATGGACAGTCTCCTCCATTGCGATTTACAGTCTCAGGAACCCAACGGAGGGAGGGTCACAGCAAGTCCAAACGGACCTGATGGCAGTAAGTTTGGTTTTGAGTAAGTGCAGTTTTTAGCCAGAAGTTAAAATCGTACTTTTTTTAAAAAAAAGTTTTGCTTTGATTTTCACTGACCCATTTCTATTCAGAAACAAAAGAGAAAGGGTAGTTTTAGGAAACTGTTTATGATTCACCTTTTTTTGAGGCTCATGTGTTTTAGTGGGCAAAATGGGCAGGTGATTCCGCTCCTGGGGAAGCCTTACAGGAAGATGGACTGTGTGGGGCAAGTAAGGGAGAGGGCAGGCATGGAGGCGTGCCTCCGGCCTTTAGGGACAGTCCTCCCCATTACAGCATGCCACTTCATCAACTTGTTAAAATTTCCCTTTTAAAGTGCTTTGAAGTAGTTGCCTGAAGAATTGTCACAGAAAGACACAGTGAGAACTTGTAGATGTTAAGCGAGGCTTCTCTTCCCTGGTCCACGTGCCCGATGGGTTAGACCGCAGCCTGGTGAGGGCCCCAGCTGTGCAGGCTCTGCCGTTTCACTGATGACACCACACTTGTGTGTATTTTGAGGTTGTATTTTGGGAGAAAACTTGAAGTTGGCTGTGGGAGAGGAGAGGGTGAGAGGGTCACAAACATAACTGAAATACAAAATATGTGGCTGTATGTCCAGAGGGAGGTGAGAACCCTTGAGAGAAGGGGTGGAGGGTTGAAGGAGGCAGGGAAGTACTGGGTGGGATGGACTGTTTCAGCAGCAGCCTGTACACTGTTGTGGAAGGAATGAGGGAGCAGGTCTTCTAGAGAAGGGGACTTTAACATCAGGAACAGGCAGACTGTGGTAAAGAGTGTGCAGAGTGGCTGGTGGCCCAGGGCCCTGGAAGCCCTTGGATTCTGCAGTATCAGTGTCAAGGGGTAAGTGTGGGGGCATGGGAGACCATCGGGAGAGGGAAACTCTGATTCCTGGTGATAGAACTTATTTCTGTAATGAGGACACTGCCAATTGATGTGGCCACCAATGGAGCATTCCAGTGGCCTACCTCACCTGCTTTGTGGCAAAGGTGGAAAGAAAGCACAGTGGAAGCCTGAAGGCTGGCCTGGGTGGAACATCCACAGGACCAGGAAGGGCTGTGCACTTGGGTAGGGATCAGGTTTGGCGTGGCACCACACCTTGCTCTGGGAGCAGTGTTAGGCTCAGCCTTGAGAGCATACCAGGTAAATGAAACCCTGAGGTGAATCAAGGGGAGGCTCAGCCGTCAGCCTGCTGTGTGGACCTGGGTTGAGTATCTCCTTTGTTTGCTCTCAGATGTGGAAGCTCTGCCCCACCATCATGCATGTACCCATGCTTACAGCTTGATTGCCTTTCTGTGCTTTATTCTCACACCAAGCATTACCAACCCCTTTACCTAGTACAGATGAGAATGAATGCTTTTAGTTTTGTTGTCACTTGTACAGTATTTGCACCTTTTAAATTATTTCCAGTAAAACTTACTCTGAGTTCATTTTTACACAACATATAAAGACATGTGAAACCTATCTCTAGTGTAACTGTGGTATCAACATCAAGCTGAAATAAAATGCTTTGACATTTCATCAAAACTTGCCGCCTCTTTTGTTTCTTTAGGGCAGGAGTCAGCATACTTTCCTGTAAAGGACAGAAACTAAATGTGTTACTCTTGGTGAGACACACACACATGGGCTCTGCCACACATCACCTTTGTCTTTTGGGATATGAAAGTAGCCAGAAATTTGTCAACAAGTACAACAGTTGTTGTGGTTGCTTGTCACTGAGTTGAAACTGGCCTATAACTGACCCTCCAGTGGATTTTCAGAGGCGTTAAATCTCTCAGGAGGAGATGTCTATCCTTCTCCTGCACAGCAGCTGGTATATTTGAACTGTGTGCCTTTGAAATTGCAGCACAGCTTCTTATCACTAGGTTATCAGAGCTCCATAATTTTGGTCCTTAATTTCTGGTAAATTCTGGTGTTGTTGTTATGTGCCATAGAGTTGTCTACGACACATAGTGACCCTATATGTACAGCAGCTCTGAAGCCTGCCCTGTCCTGAGCCAGTCTCACTGACTTTGGCACACCTACCTCCATTGCCCCAATTATTGTATCAGTCCGTCTCACCCAGGGTCTTCTTCTCCTGCGCTGTTGCTCCCCCCTTCCAAGCATGATGTCCTTCTCCAAGGGCTGATCCCTCCTGGCCACATGCCCAAAGTATGTAAGATGCCTCCAAGGAGAAACTAGGTTTCACCCTCTGCAAGACAGAGCTGTTTTGTTTTCTTGGCAGTCCGAGGTATGTTAAAGACTCTTCTCCAGCACCACAAGGCATCAATTCTTCTGTTATCCTTAGTCATTGTCCAGCTTTCTGATGCATAGCAAGTAATTGTGAAGACTATGGGCTGAATCAGGCACATTTTACTGTCTAGACTGACATTGTTGCTTCTCAGTACTCTGGAGAGGTCCTTGATAGCAGATTTTCCCACTGCAGTTTGTCTTTTGTTTTCTTGACAGCTGGTGCCAAGAGTGTTGATTGTAGAGCTGAGCAAGTTGTAATTGTTAACTTCAGTCTCTTCATTTGTCATGGTGCTGCCAGTTGGCCCAGTGGTGAGAATCCTTGTTTTCTTGACATTGAGCTTCAATCCATATAGAAGACTACAGTCCTTGAACTTCTGCAGCAAGCGCTTGATGAGTCTTCCTCCAATCCTGAAGCCACATTCCTCTTCATAAACCCAGCCTCCCAAATGATCTGTTCTGCATATAAATTGAAAAGACATGGAGACAGGATGCATCCTTGACACACTCCTTCCCTGATTGTGAACCAAGCAGTGTTTCCTTGCTTTGTTCTGAGGACTATGTCCTGGTCCGAGTATGGGTTTCACATGAGCACAATCAAGTGTGTGGGGATTCCCACCCTCCTGAAGGTTAGCCACAATCTGTTGTCATATCCCTTTGCATAGGCAAAGCTTAAGTGCTAGTAGTACTTAAAATTGGAATTTCATATGTTAAGAAATACTATCATTCTTTAAATTTTTCTTCAAAACTGTAAAAGCTATGTTGAATTTGCAGTCCCTACAAAGACAGGGAGCAGGTTGTTTGGCTGTAGCTGTAGCTGCTTGTTCACCCTGGGTGGGGTATGGATGAGCCTGGGCCCTGTGTCCTACAGCTGACACTTGTCTCCCAGCCCCTAGTGCTCTGTGGACGTGTTATCCACTTTACCATTACAGCATTGAGATTTGGCCTTGTCCTGAGCCACCTCCAGAACCAGCTTTGTTGCTGCAGCTGTCTGAATCCAGGATCCCAGCTGTGAGATGTGTGGTGAGGAAATCACACATGTCACCATTTCTTAGCTAACACTCTGGCTGGCTGTGCCTTGACTGCTGTGTTTACCAACATCAATCCTACTCCTTTTTAATAAGCAGAATGTCAGAAAGGGGATAGGCAGGGAGAGAGAAAGGGAGATGGTGGAAGAAGACTGGTTTCCATACAGGATTTTGTCGTGAGTCCCATCAGCAAAACTAAAAGCTTTTTTTTTTTTTAAAAAAAAAAGATATATGTCAATTTTATGGAAGCATATTCAAACACTAAAAGCCATTTGCCTGTATGCAGTCAGTCAAGGGTTTGGTTAATACCTTTTCTCAAAAGCAGCTGTGTTTTAGTTGGGGCATCAGACACTCTAGCATACGCCACAGGAAGCCCCTTCTTTTTCAGGGCGTTGTCTGAGAGCTGACCCCAGCCTTGTCCTCCCACTTCTGCCATTTCAGTTATTGGTTACAAACTTGAGAAAACTTGAAAGAAACTAAAAATTGTAGTCCATTTTAACATTTGCAACTGATTTTCAGATTCACATATTTCAAACTTTTGGCATCCCTTTGGAAACTTGGAATAGCAGTTGATTTGTTGAAGATGTAATTTTTCTTGATTCATTTTGAAAGTGAAAAGCCACAGAGTTAGTCTTCTGGCCCATCTGAAGGCAAGGGTGGTCCTTTGTGACATTGGTGGTCCTAGACTCCCAGATGAGCATCTTTATTTCACCTATT